GGAAATTTGTAACTTAACACCCTTTAAATTTAACAAGTTTTTACAAGTTTAATAGAGGCAAAATCAGTCTTATCTTAGCAAGTGCTAGCCCCGCCCACCCGCCCCCTATTTCCTCAGACGATATGCCATTTGCCAAAATCAGTCTTATCTTAGCAAATACTAGCCCCGCCCACCCGCCCTCTATTTCCTCAGAGGATATGTCATTTCCCAAAATAAGACTTATCTTAGCCAGTACTAGGAAATACTTCCCCCTGAGAAAATAAAGGGTGGGTGGTACTTGCTAACATAAGTTTTATTTTGGCAGATGACATCATTTGAGAAAATAGGGGGCGGGTTCTAGTACTTGGCAAGATAAGACTGATTTTGGCAAATGACATGTTCTCTGAGAAAACAGGGGGAGGGTGGGCGGGCCTAGTACTTATTAAGATAAAATTGATTTTGCCACTGTTAATCTTATAAAACCTTGTGAAATTTAAAGGTGTTAATTGCAAGTTTTCATAGTAACGAGTTAAATTCCTAAATCTACCGGAAATGTGCAAAATATGAAGAGTTTTTACTTGTGAGTTATAATTGCATTCATATCTTTGAGATTTTCTTGTACAAGTGAGTTAAAAAAATTAATGAATGTATCAATTTAATTTATTGATTAAATCAGAAACGGCTCCTCACTCCATTTTTCTAGAAAATTTTGGGAATATATTACTGTTATTTTTAGTATTACCTACACTGTACCAATCCAAGTCGATATCTCTTTAATCCGAACAAAAACTCTGCAATCCGAACTGAACTTGAAAACATGCACCTGCTTGCAAAAATGACGCAAAATCTTCTTTCTATAGGTGTTGTATTGAATTTTTTTAAATTTTTAAAAATTGTGATATTTTAGTGCACTGAATTAATTATCAAATTCTGGAAAAAAGGTTAAAGTTATCGAAGAATGGGGCCGGAAGTGACTTCTGCGCCCCGAAATTTACAAGAAAAAGTAATTAGTTAAATTTTGAAAATCGTCGAAAATGGATCGAAATTTGTTAGTACTTGACAAATGACCTACCCTCTAAAAAAATTTAAGGCGGGTTGGCCAGGCTATGATTTGCCAAAATAAGACTCATTTTGGCAAATAACCTACTCTTCTAAAAAAAGGTAGTAGCCCCGCCCACCCACCCTTATTTTCTTAGAGGATATATCATTTGCAAAAATTAGTCTCATACTTGCCAAGATTTTGGCAGATGGCCTATTCTTTATCTTGTTAGAAGAGTAGGTCATTGGCCAAAATGAGTCTTATTTTGGCAAATACTAGCCCGGCCCACCCGCCTTTTATTATCTTAGAAGGTAGGTTATTTGGCAATTACTATAGATTACTGATACTTTTGTGTTCATACGATTAAGCTTGTATCGATTTTTCATCTCGAAAACAAATGTCATCAAAATATTCAGTCACTTTCAGTACATTTCTTAGGTATGGGAGTGTCTGATCGATATCGAAAAGAAGCTCGAAGTATGTCTTACCATTTAGTACTTTTAATTTTGTTAATTCTTCTTCTATTTCTATTGTAGGTACTAAGATCGTTTTGTTCTTCTACTTGCCCGTTTAATGTTTCCTTCGCAACAGCCTTCAACATTTGTCAATAGTTTCCCAATTTAGAATCATTGGAATTAGGGTTCTGTTATATTTATCCCAAATTTAATCTTTTTAGTCTTCTGATTGATGTTAAATTAAGATTATTTAGTTTCTACTCCCGTTTCATTGTTCTTTCATGTTACCTGTGTGTCCAATATTACTGGCTGTAATATGCTTGTTACTTCCCAAGCGTAAGTGAACTTTCATAATTTCTCAACATGTCATGACTTCTAAAGTATGAAAAAGTGGTCTCCCGTTTCCGTCTGTCCGTCTGTCTGTCTGTCTGTCTGTCCGGACCTACTGGACCGATCGTTGTCACATTTTGTACGTATACCACGTGTTTCTTTTATTTGACACAACCCCCGTAATTTTTTTATTTTAAAAAATAAACATATAGTTCTTTGACCAAATTTGTAGCATTTTAAAAGATCACCTATGTGAATAAATGACATGAGTGTCAATGTTTCAAGCTGCTACATTGTCATCAATTAATATGAATTTTTCGTCTATTTTATTTAAGTATTGATTTTGAAAATACTGGTTGCCTTTGATTTTTAGAAAAAATCAGTCTTTCCATTTATGAAAAAATATATCAAGTGTTCCATAAAAAAAAATGAAGTTGATGTCATTTCCGGTTCTACCGGAAGTGATAAAATAAATGCAAGGTTGCCATCACATAGATCTTTTAAAATGATACATTTGCTCAAAAAGCTACACGTTTATTTTTAAGAATAAAAAAGTTACAGGGGTTGTATCAAATAAAAGAAACATCTGTATATACATATTAGGAATATCATGTAGACGGTTAAACGCTAACTACAATTTGACTAATCATTCCCACCACTAATGGAATGACGTCATCTCCAAGATTTATAATAAAAAATTTTTTTAATTTCATAAAATAAGATACTCCTGCACTTGTGTGTGAATCTAGAGATTCTGAATTTTTGGAAAAAATTAAAAACTGAATCACAATATTTTTCAATAATTTGAAACTGCAAAACCAATTGCTCTAAAATCTTGTTATCGCAATGATGATAAATCGTTAAGCAAAATTTATTCGTTTAGATCTTCCCAAAAAAATTATGACGTCATCTCAAAATTTTGCCGAATAAATTCTATCCAAAATGTACAAAATATGATGAGTCTATACTTGAGATTTACCAATGTAATAAAAGTTTTTAAATTTATTATACAGGGTGACTCAAAATTAATGAATGAGGCAATTTATTTTATGGATTAAATCGGGAACGACTCACTCCATTTTCCCGAAAATTTGGGAAAATAGTATTACATTGCACCTATCCAAAGTGATATAGGTGTCTAAATGTAACATTACATATACATCTTTATTTTAGCTTGTAATAGTTCTCATAAAAATATAAAGTTCGCATAATCAAATTTTATAATTTTTCGAAAAAACTGGATTTGTTTTCTTGTATTTCGACCAGTTTTTTTTAGTTATCTTCATGTCAATTATTTTATTAATTTCTGCGTTCTGAATATCGACAATGAAAAGTGAACCAAAAAAGAGAAAACAGAATTTTAACCATCTTGGGAAAAACATGTGCTAGATAATTTCGGGCAACAATAACACATTCAATCAAAACAAAACCACTTTAGTTTTCCTTTCAAATTAACCTTTAATTTCGCAAATTTCTTCACTGCAATTAATGTCCCTGAAATCCGATGATTTAGATCCACCTGTCTGCGTGTTTTCGGTCAAATTAGAAAAATCGCGCCGCTTGTTAAATTTGTGCGAGGCTAAATTCGTGAGATTTTTTCGCTGATTGAAATAACTGTGTTTCAGTATTCTTGAGTTTTGTATAGAAACGGTTCTATTCACGATTGTTACACAACTTTGAAAAGATCAGCAGGACATTCTAATGTGCTGTGTAGATAAAATTCCTGCAATGTAACGTGCTCAAGTTACAATGTTTAGAATTTTTTCTTGGTGAACATCAGACTAGACGGATGAAATTCAAACTGTTGGCAGAATGTGAGCAAAACAGGAAATTCCCCTTAGGGAAGGCATGCAATCCGCTGAAAGAGGAGATCTAAGGCCTCACAAGTTTAACTCAATTATGGTTGGGTGCACATGCGACAAACATCAGCGATGGAGCGACAAGCGATAATTTTTTTTATGTTAAATGTTTCAAAGGTAAACTAAATGAATAAGTATCAATTTTCGATGCTGGAAGAACACACATTTTTAACCAAAATTACAGGATAACTTCACCATTATTTAAAAAAAAAAAGCGGCCTTTTTTTTAATACGAAATAATGAACTCAACTGTTCTGAAACTTAGTTTGTTTTTCTTTTCACATAAAGATAAACTATTAGGTTTTACAAAACAATACGAAGAATTACATATTCTGTAGAATTTAAACTTGGTTTCAGATATGTTCTGAAAAATCAAAATGCTAAACCACAGTCGATTGAGACATCCTATATATGTAAACGTTTGGAAATTGTGTCCTCGATTCAAAAACCATCGTAACCTCTGCCTCCAGCTCTCGACTTTTTCAACGAAATCGGCACAAACGCATAAAAATACTCCAGTTCCATCTATAAATATAATTTTAATAAATCCACGTCCGATAAACTGGCGCCATGGTGTTTATCCATTAATATAAGTTCCCATCCAAAATTATGACCATTGCTCTATTAATACAAACGCGTCCAGTATGAATACAAAATTCTCTATTTGTCGTCGGTCGTCTGTCTAAATTTAGCTAAAAGAACAGCAGACAGTTGACCCCAACTATTTCCACCAGCGAATTCCGTCTAAACCCAATCAGACAATTCCAGTCACATTTTTATCGCGCCGCCGTTTCGACCACCAACGGTGTCGAAAGAGATAAAACCGAAAACGCGCATCCCTCCGAGGGTAAATACAAGACATTCCCATCAAAGATAAACAAGTACTTATCCGACTTGGATGTGGGTTTTCGGTTTAGTAATTTTTATTTGGAAAAAACCATCTGGCTGAAGCTCAATTCGGAACAATGGGAGGCGGTTATTCACAATACGTGGTTTGGATAAGCCTTGTTTTAATAGTAGCATTTTGTAAGTAACTGGCGCCACTGCAATTTCTTTGTTTAAAATGTCGGTTTGCAGTTATGATTTGCAGCTGCTGCTTTTTTCATTGTAGCGCATTCTTGTATATTTCTTTCGTGTTTTTCAGCGCTTCGCCCTTCTTATCGCGATCACGGTATATCAATGAACTTTGGCAACGATTGGCATATAAATAAACTCCAAGGCTTTACGACTTCAGGGAAATTAATTTCTGTAAACATCTGTGTGTACTCGCGTTCCGGGTCACTAAATTTAATTTGTCGGACGCTGCAAAAATAAAATAAAAATGTCGCAACAACTTACCGAAAAGTCCACCAGATGTTGAAGCACATGGTGTTCAGCCAGAAGAAGGCCGCCAAAAAGAGGAAATGCATCGATACGGCTGGAAAAAATAAAGGAGTGATAAATTCAAGGATTGGGGGCATAAACAACATGCTGACCCAAATAACCAGCATTCAAATCATGTACGCTGCTATAGAAATCGAGATTTTTTCGATTTACAATGTTCTGAATGGACGTTTCGCAATTTTTGATAAATCTTGCATCAACGAATATCAAGGAACTATTTTAAACTTAAAAAATCTGAGGCTCCAGAGACTTCGTGAGGTTGACACAGCTCATGGACTTTACACAATAATTTTAAGAAATCTTAAATTTCAAACTAGATAATGAATTCGTAGTATCAAAAAGCAAAAAATTTAATTGGAAAAAAATCTACATTAACATTTTTCGTCAAGTCACGTTAAACAATAGCTTGTCAAATTGAAGGACTAATAAATGATGCGAGCAGATTACTTCCCAAAATGTTTTCTTGGAGAAGTAGTAGGTGGCTGCCCAAGGCAACAGTTTAGATACATAATCATGTGCTTAATCGTTCCTAGCAGTCCTTATAATAGTTTTTAAATTGACTGTGTCGTAACGGAAGATGTATATTATGCATAAATTATTTGTCAAATTTGGAAAATAAATTGGGTTATGCTGTCGCAGATGAACATGACCTCCCTCCCTCTAACTTCAACTGTAAAATAATTAAACATTATTTTATTATTTTGTCTAATTTTTTCTTAAAGATGATTGTACTGCTGAACTCCACGTTTATACACAAAATTTACTAGCGAAAATCCCATATAAAATAATTATTGACAAGTAGCCACCCTACTACATTGATTTGGCTTTGGAATATACAGTGCTTTCACCACATACTCTACAGCTTAAATTAATTAGGCGTTATTACAATATTAATATAAAAATTGAAACTGACATATTTATATATTTTTTTAATATACACATACAGGTACCAGTCACGACTTTACAAGTTTTTTTTCAAGCTCAGCGCATTACAAGTTTTCAACCGTCAGCTACAATCTGCTTACGGCTTAATGAACATCGCATTTCAAGCATGTTTCAAAAAACTTGTCAGCAATGTTGTCGGATGACGGAAATTTTCTTTTTTACTGAGAAGCTACGACACAAAATAGAATAAGAAATTTCAATAAAAATCGGCGAAAAAATACTGTTCATGTTTAAACCATAAGTCGTGCAATTATCACACTTGTTACAATTTACGGTCATTATTTTTCATGACTACAACCTTATCCTGTTCTTTCAGTAAAGCAAAAAGGAAAAAAATTTTGCTATTCACGTATTGTAAAATAAGTTAGTTAATGACTTTAAAATTTAAAAACAATACAACCAATACTACTACAGCGTAGTAACTACAATTAAAAAACAATAACTTAAAAGCCAATAATATTTTACAACAATACCCGACGAGGTAAATTATTTAGTTTTAGTAATTGCTTTGCGTTGTTTATACATCGTTAAATTTCATTGCGGCACATACAGGTGTTTTTAGAAGAGACCATATATACTTTCTTACCTTATTAATTTCTTTTTCTAATACTACACTATTTCGGAAAAATTTCTCTGCGGGTTGCCATAATTCCCTAAACGCTCAGATAGAATAAAATAGACAAGGACTAAAGTTTCCGTGCTTGATTACAGAAATTGATTGCACAGTACCTTCTTCAGGTAGAAACTGTGTTGTAGTTTCGCACAATAAAATCTATTCTACTCAGAAAGTACTTTTCTGAAGATAAAAGTGAGAAGTGTAAAAAAGTAACCGCCACATCTGTACAAATCATTAAAAAAAATGAATATATATTTAAATTTATCATGGGTGGATTTTAAATGGGAAGTAGTGTTTTTTTTTTATCAACCTAACTTGGTGAGAAATCGAACAAACCGAGGAATATTGACAATTCGAAAATAAAGCAAAACGAAACATCGGAATGAAATATATAGAGATTATCTTGTATTTATCTTCTATTTCTATTTTGGGACTTTAAAATACTTCCGACTTCTGAATTAATCGATTTTTTTAGTTTTTCGAGTTTTCGATTTTTCGTCTTTCCGATTTCTCGATTTCTCAATTTTTGGATTTCTCGAATTTTCAATGTTTTAAGTTTTGGGATTTTTCAATATGTATTTCGATTTTTAAATTTTTAAATTTTTCGACTTTGTCTTTTTTTATTTTTTACATATTCGATTTTTTAAAATTTTGCAAATTTTTGAATCTTACGTTTTTCGATTTTTAAATTTCCTGATATTTCGATTCGTTGATGTTTTGATTTTTCAGTTTTGTAAATTTTCAATTTTTAAAATTTTAGGTTCTTCATTTTTTTGTTGTTTCGATTTCTTAATCTTTCGATTTTTTGCCTTCTCGCTTTTAGCTTTTTCGACTTTTCAATTTTTCGGAATTAATTTTTCAGTTTTTCGATTTTTCAATTTTCGATCAAACGGTTTTCTTTCGATTTTTCGCCTTCTCGGTTTTAGATCGTCCACTTTTTCAATTTTTCGAAATTAATTTTTCAGTTTTTCGATGATTTTTCACTCTTTCGGTTTATCGTTTTCTTTTGATTTTAAATTTTTCAATTTTGAATTTTCCCATTTTTCGATTTTTAGCCTCTTCCATTTCTCAATTTTTTGATTGCGATTTCTCGGCTTTTTGATAATTCATCTTTTCGATTTTTCGATTTTCCAATTTTTCAACGTTTCAGGTTTGGGATTTGTGTATTTAAATTATTCGAGTTTTCATTATTTCAATTTTTGGGGTTTGTAGATTTTTGCATTTTTCAATTTCTGGATTAATCGACTTTTTAATTTTTCGACTTTTCGATTTTTCGTCTTTCCGATTTCTCGATTTCTCAATTTTTCGGCGTCTCAAATTTTCAATGTTAAAGTTTTGGGATTTTTCAATATGTATTTCGATTTTTAAATTTTTAGATTTTTCGACTTTGTATTTTTGATTTTTTACATATTCGATTTTTCAAAATTTTGCAAATTTTTGAATCTTACATTTTTCGATTCTTAAATTTCCTTATTTTTCGATTCGTTGATGTTTTGACTTTTCAATTTTTCGATTTTTTAAATTTTAGATTCTTCATTTTTTATTGTTTCCATTTCTCAATCTCTTGATTTTTGCCTTCACGTTTTTAACTTTTTCGATTTTTCAATTTTTCGGAATTAATTTTTGAGTTTTTCGATATTTCGATTTTACAGTTTTCGCTTTAACGGTTTTCTATCGATTTTTCGCCTTCTCGTATTTAAATCGCCCGATTTTTAAATTTTTCGGAATTAATTTTTCAGTTTTACGGTGTTTCGATTTTTCAATTTTTCGGTAATTTATCGTTTTTTTTTATTTCTAATTTTTCAATTTTGAATTTTCCCATTTTTCGATGTTTCGCCACTTCCATTTCTCAATTTTTCGATTTTTTGACTTCTCTTTATTTTGATCTTTCGATTTCGATTTCACGATTTTTTGATAATTCATCTTTTCGATTTTCCAATTTTTTAACGTTTAAGTTTTGAGATTTGTGTATTTAAATTATTAGATTTTTAATTTTTTTCAATTTTCGGCGTTCCTAAATTTTTGGATTTTTCGATTTTTCAATTTCTGAATTAATCGGTTTTTTAATTTTTTGACTTTTCGATTTTTCGTCTTTCCGATTCCTCGATTTCTCAATTTTTCGAATTCTCAAATTTTTAAATGTTAAGTTTTGGAATTTTTCAATATGTATTTCGATTTTTAAATTTTTAGATTTTTCGAGTTCGTTTTTTTGAATTTAAACATTCAATTTTTCAAAATTTTGCGACTTTTTAAACCTTATATTTTTCAATTTTTTTTATTTTTCGATTCGATGGTGTATTTTGATTATCAATTTTTTAAATTTTCAATTTTTCATTTTTTTGTTGTTTTAATTTCAGTCTTTCGATATTTTGCCTTCTCATTTTTGATTTTTCGGAATTAATTTTTCAGTTTTTCGATATTTCGATTTTTCAATTTTTCGATTTATCGGGTTTTTTTAATTTTAAATTTTTCTATTTTGAATGTTTCCATTTTTCGATCTTTAGCTATTTCGGTATCTCAATTTTTCGATTTTTCGGGTTCTCGACTTTTCGCGTTTTTTCAATTTTTCGATTTCGATTTCTCGATTTCTTAATTTTTCGATTATTCGAATTTCCAATTTTTCGATGTTTCAATTTTGGGATTTATTTATTTTTTAAATCTTCGATTTTTCAATTGTTCAATTTTTGTTGTTTCTAAATTTTTTTAATTTCTCGCTTTTTCAATTTCTTTATTACTCGATTTTTTAATTTTCCGAATTTTTCATTTTTTAATTTCTCAATTTAAATAAATATTTCGATTTTTAAATGTTTACATTTTTCGACTTTTTTTTATTTTCTATTTGCTCGATTTTTCCAAATTTTGCGAGTTTGAATTTTTGGATTTTTTTTATTTTTAAAATTCTTGATTTTTCAATTTTTCCGTTTTGACAATATTTTTATTTCTCCTTCAAATACGAAACATCACATATTTAAAAAAAGGGAGCCCTTAAAAATCTATAAAATTCGTTCCAAATAAAGAACTCCCTGGATCCTCGAGATTTTTTAGAACTATTTTAAAAATAAAACACAAGAGGCCCCGAAGCTCCGTACATGCTTATTGTTTATGTTTATACATACATCGAAAGAATGAAAATATCCATTCGCCAAATTGATCCTACTACAATACATATTTCCTTAGCTTACGCTCGGGGAGTATAAAAACCCTTTTATTTGTCTATTTCCGCTAGCAACACCAAACATTTTATAAAACTGTATCGAAACAGATATTACAACAAACATTATAAAAATTTAAAGTAAATACGAACAGAAAGCAGAGTTTTCATTTATTCCGTACTGGAATGTTGGTGGTAGCATAAAACTACACTAAAAATCGCAAAGTGGACTCATTTTTGTAATACATATAGACATATTTTTGTATTTCGTTACCACATACCAAAACGTAATACATGTAAAGAAATACCTGATTCTTTCTAT